AAAGATGACACATTCAAAAATGACAGTTGACAAGCAGAAAACTCACTTTGATAAAAGATGGAAGAACTGGTGAAGACCAGCACAACGCGGATTGTTTCTCGAACTATCACGGATAGCTACAGTATCTCCGGACAGCATAATGAACTCAAGATGTATATGTCCATATGTCAACCGCAATGTGACCTCGTTTATTGGCATCAAATGGAACTGAAATAAATGAAATAAAACCGAGCACTAGGACCAACTGGCGGTGCAGTTGACTTTAGGAAGATAATTAAGAGCCTTTACGCTTCGCGATTAAGCTGGCAGTTAGCGCTTCTACCGTACGCATGATTCGGGGATCCAAACTCACTCGGAAACCAATCCCTCCAGTCCCCTATATCACCAAATCGCACTAGATAAGTATGTTATGTCAGGATAAATCTCACTTCATCTGACCCCTACAAGTACTGTACTACCTACATATCCAAGTATTTGCGACTACATTTATGAATAGGAACCGAATGCTTGGCACAACTCAAGGCGGATAGAACGGCCATAGGGTGCGCTGTTCCCTAGCCATTGCGCAGCACAATTCACTTGAAGAAGGGAGAATTTTGTGAGAGCAGGTCACACACTAAAGGTCATTATTCGTCAAAGAACTGCAGTGACACACTATACCAATAAGCAATAACTGAACGAAATAAAGTAATTTCCCTCCATTCCACTAGTGACTTCTCGTTTAATCTGAATTATCAGTGTGGAAACTCCACGATTTTTCTTCGTCCAGCATATGGTCAAATATAAAGTTCCACTAACCTTCAAAGTAAGAGGATACGGTATATCATTGTTGAACAAGTTGTGCCAAAACTTTGCAGGATTGAAAGCGAATTCGGCTGAAGAATGACAACGATTGAAGTGGTTCGCTAGTCGTAACCAAGTAGTGAACAAGTTCCGTGAGATCTGACTTCGCGTTGAACCTTAATGATTACTTGTTTGAAGGGTATACGACGAGCAGTACGCAAAATGACCTATGTCGATTTCTTGGGTAAAATTAGCTCTTTCTAGAAGTAATAGATAGAGACTCCAATCGAAAAGAAGTAAAGTAAAGAAATAATAATCAAACAAGGCTTCAGATGACAAACTGTCATTATCGATATGGCAACTACTACTGGCGTCAAAAGTAGTTAGCGGCTAGCAGCGCAATTTCTATTGTCCCTAGACATGAATTCTGATCTTTCCACTTGTCTATCAATAAAGTTTAAGGAAAAACAGCGCGGCGCAAGGCTTGAGAGGAAAGTAACCCTATAACGTCATTTAGCCTTTGACGGCAAGCGGCAACAGGAATAGAACTTCTTTGTGGATCCTCAACTTCAGATACAATAATAAAAGAAAATAGCTTTCATAATCCAATTCAACATACTTTTCTTTCAAGATAGTCGCCATCATGCAGTGCGCATTCCAACGAGTCGCCTCTTGCAAATTCACTTCAGTAGAGTCATAGATAGAGATCGGAAGCGTCTGAAGCATATACATAGAACCACACAAATGAATTCTTTTTCCAAAATCATAAA